TCAGACAGAGGCCCGCCGATACGGAAATCGTCAGCGTCGGCGCGTTCCTCCGCAACGGATTCGACTTGTACCGAGCCGCAAACGGCGGCGATTGGATGGAGGAGGCGGCGTTTGCGATGCATGAGTGCGGCGAGAGGGAGTACACGGCGGTTGACGATCTGTGCTCGCTCGATCTCGCGGCAGAGGAGGAGTACATGGAGTTCCCCGGCGAGCACATCACTTTGCCTGGAGGCTACTCCAGGGTCCCGGAGTTTCTCGCCGCCGCGCTCCCTCGCGGCACGATCCGGCTCGGCCGAGGCGTCTCTCGCGTCGAATGGTGCCTCTCCGGCCGCCATCGGGTGAGACTCCACTTCGATGACGGCGAGGTTGAGCATGCCGATCACGCGATCATCACCGTCTCTCTCGGTGTCCTCAAGGCGGGGATCAAAGGCGCCGGGGGGCTGCTGTTCTCGCCGTCCCTACCGGAAGCAAAGCGTGGGGCGATAGACCGGCTAGGGTTCGGCTTAGTGAACAAGCTTTTCATGGAGGTCGAAGGAGGAATTAATAAGGTGAAATCTCCGTTTCCCTTTCTGCGGATGGCGTTCGATCCCGGAAGGCACATGTCGGAAATCCCTTGGTGGATGAGGAGGACGGATTCCATCTGCCCTATTCACGGCGGATCTAACGTGCTCCTCGCGTGGTTCGTCGGCCGGGAGGCGGCGGAAATCGAGAAGATGGAGGAGGACGAAATCATTCACGGCGTTCACGCAACACTCGCCGGTTTCTCACCGGAATCTACGGCCGGCGGGGAGTTCGGGAGGATCTCGAAGGTGAGGTCAAGCGGATGGGGGAGGAATCCCCGGTTTTTAGGGTCCTACAGCTACGTGGCTGTCGGATCGAGCGGGGACGATCAGGATGCGCTGGCGGATCCGGTGGACGGTTCGCTCCAGCTATTATTCGCTGGGGAGGCCACGCACCGAACACGGTACGCGACCACTCACGGCGCGTACCTTAGCGGAGTACGAGAAGCCGACCGCTTGGCGCGTTACTACGGCTTCGAAAGCTGCGGAGGCTGAGATGGTTGGCGAGGCCAGCTCACGAATAGGAGAGCTAGCTATTGATTAATGAATAATTATACTTAATTAAAAGATGTTTTTCTTGGGTTGGTTTAAATATGGAGAGGCTGAGGTGTGAGGGTTATTGTAGATACAACAAGTCTACACTTTGATGGCCTTTTGTAATTTAGTGAGGATTGGAGAGAGAGAGAGAGAGAGAGAGAGAGAGAGAGGAAAAAAAGGACCAGAAGGTGGTCCAGATTATGGGCTGGCCATGACTTGTCTTGTAGTTTCTTTTTTTCTTTTTTTTTTTTTGGGGGATTTTATTTTTATTTTGTTTGCCATTTTGGATACTTCCATGATTGAGGCTGGGATTTGTTGTTGCTTTTGTTGCATTGTTGAGGTTGATTTTTGGTATGAAATAGTGGTGTGGTAGTTGGCTTGGTGTTCTTTGCGGCCATGTGGGGAAAATCACTGAATGAAATGTGGATTTAAAGATAGGACATTGTAGAAGCTGTTGTAAAAATGCGATTTAAGGCATTGTAATTTGTCAGCATTGTTGTGGTTCGAGATGTGATGCTAATATTATGTGCCGATTTAAATCATGAAAAATTAGAAGGGGTTTTTACCTAATTGAAACGAGCAGAGCAGGGGCATTATCATTTCATGAAATTGAAGGGAAAGCCATTTTCATTACCTCAATCTTGCATGCAACCTGTACGAGGAGAAATTTTTTTTTCATTGATCTTACAAGCAACTTTTCTTACAATCGTGAGCCGCTCGAAGGCTTATTATATCTCAGAGTAAACGACGAAATGGAATGATGTCTACTCCTGATGATGCTAATGGAATCAGCTTTATCCCGGTTCAACCATTTACCTGCAGGGGTGATTACCTTTTTTGAAGAACTCAAACAAATGTTCATTGTTCAGTCCGTGAGCACGCAAAAACCATCAAAATGTTTGCAAGCCCCTCTAATGATACGTCAAATCCTTAGAAGTTTCTTCATATATTTTTCAAAAAGATATGTTAAACATACATGATTTGGAACTTGCGGTAGCATGCACTAGTTGAAGGTCTGAGAGAGGGCACATTCAGTTATGATTTTGGCCTCCGGAAACCAAGGACATTGGCTAAGCTCTTGGACTCGCAAATAAGCACATTCACGCTTTAGAATCTCGGTCACATGCATGTCCTTCACAGGCTTTGACTGCAGATGGAGAGCGTATGTCCAAGAGCATTATGGTCGAAGAGGTTTAAGAACTTCTAATAAGGAAATATATTCTTATTTGTGTAAAATCTCATGTTAGAAAATGTAAGCTCAATACAAGCAATGCAAATCTTACTTTTTTTTGCATGTTATACATATGAATTTGTGAGTGTTATGCTTAGCACATAAACATGCAAACCCTAAAGCCAATTTATACTTATATAACTAATACTTGAATCATCAAACTTTTAAATACTTAAATTATTTTTAAATGAGAAAAATATTTCTTATTAAAAATATATTTTGTATTTGAAAAATAAAGTTTAAAAAATGTATTAAAACAAGTGAAAAAACTGAGTATTAAATATGAAAGTATGAAGGACTTGAATCAACATAAAATAATAAATCAAATGGAAGAACATCAACCTAAGGTAGAAAACTAACATGCATAAGTGAACTTATAATACTTTGATTTGTACGTGAACCTAACAACTAGGAGATTGAACCAAAATAAAACTTAAAATATCAAATCCACCAAAATAAATCTAAAATTTTCCAAATTAAATAACTGAAATCACCACTAGATATATCAATTGTGAACCCTAGGTTATCCAACTTAAAAATAATGCCTAAGATCACACATACTCTTAGAATATTAGAGTCTAGAAGCTTAGGATAGATTACTAGATACTCCAAATTAGTGCTAAATATTAGGATATATAAAATAATAAGTCTGCGAGCCCCTTCGACTATGTAGGCGCTTAAGGATAAATTAATTCATGGTTACTAATGAAGGCGCTTCAAACCACCAAATAGTAAAGTAGTTATACATTCACCATCACTATGGTATCAGTGAAGACCTCTTTCTATCTTGCTAGTTAATAGTCTAAGGTAACTGATGCACTTGAGATAATGGAAGGCTATTGGCACATTGACCAGGGGTGACAAACCTAAAATATAGAATAGTCTACATATGTACCTCCTTAAAGAATATAGAATTTTTCTTTAGATATTTCATTAGGTTAGGCTTTCTATTTTCTACTTAGAATTATTTTTCAAACTTCAAACCAATCTAGAAATATTTTTGAACTTCAAATTAACCTAGAAATCTTTTCAAGCTTCATACTTATCTAGAAATCTTTTCAAACTTCAAACCAACTTAGAAAATTTTTCAAACTTCAAACCAATCTAAAAACGTTTTCAAACCTTAAACCAACTTGGAAATCTGAAAAGATTTGAAATCAAGCTTCAAATCAACCTTAAATAAAGCTTCAACTTTTAAACCAACCTAGAAACCTAATTTTAGCTTTTAACCGAACCTCAAATCAACCTTCAAACCAAATTTCAAACTAACTTTCAAACTAAAATATTAAAAAACCTTCAAACATTTTCAATTATCAAATCAACCTATAAATCTTTTCAAACTTCAAATCATGCATTAAATTAATCATCAAACCAAACTTCAAACCAATGTTCATACAAACCCTTAAACCTTTTCAAACTACAAACCAACTTTCAAATCTTCTCAACTCAACCATGAAGTCAAACTTAATCTTTCAAATCAAACTATTAAATTTGCAACCTTACCAATCAAAACTTTGAATTTAAATTCTTCAAACTAAATAATTCAAGTTAAACCCCAATCAAATCAAATATTTCAATTCAACTAAAAATTTTTTGAATTCAAACCATTAAAATCAAAGCATAAATCTTTCAATAACTTTCATCGACCTACTTGGAGTGATTCCCTTGATCATATATTATTTTATGACTATTTGAGCGCCTTAATAATGTTTGAATTAAGTAATCTTTGGCTTGTTCGATTTACCTTGTCAAAGCATTCAATTTGATTATAAGCTTGACAATTTTGGAGATCATTTCGCCCTAAAACTTCTTGCTGCTTTAAGTGCATATTATGAGCTCACTTGGACTTATATCAAATCATTTCCTTGTGCCATTTGGTTTGTCTCACAAATATACTCAATCCAAATTAGAGGGTAAGTAATTCTTAATATAATATTTGGAGCTTTAATCCCAATGTGCACCAAGATTCATGCTAATCAAGACAATAATGTATAAAATTGTGTAGGAATATTATCTACTAATATATAAATACTTATCGAACAAAATAGTAATACATATATATATATATATAAGTGTGTGTGTGTGTGTGTGAGTTTTTCAAAAAAAAAAAAATGGTAAGAATATTATGATTTGATATGATTTCATTTATAATACTAACATCGATTAAATAACCGACTTTATTTACCCATAAAACAACTAATAATTACATCTTCACTATCAACATCATTATCTAATAATAATTATTAAGGATAAACGTAACGAAAAATCCTCCTCCACAAAGAATTCACAGAGCTGAACCCTAAATCCGCAATTTTACGTCTCCCTGGATTGGAACCCCCCGCACCTCCGATCCGCCATTATAGACCTCCCCCGGCTGTCGAGCAATAGCTCCCGAGTTCAAACATTGCTCAAGATCTTGATCGCAAGAACCACTTGTTTCAGCCTGCAAGATCTGAGCCCGCTCCCTAATCGCCGAAATCCGCCGCAAAACGTGGTCAAGCCTAGCCCGATAAAGCTGAATGCTGTCCTGCAATTGCAGCACGATGCGGTAGCATCCGCCGGCGGGATCTTGAGCGCGAGCATTTGATTGAAAGATGATCGATCTTATGGCTTCCGGGCGAGCATTGGCTTCGAGGGAGTTTAGGATTTTGATGATCTTGGAGAGTCCGAAGAGGCGATGGGTGTTGAGGAAGATTTGGGGCTTATCGGCGGGGAAGAAAGGGGCGAGGATGCAGTTTGGACTGCATTTGCGGCGCTGGTATTTGCACGCTGCGCAGGTTGGGGGGGAGG